AACCGCGCCGCGCGGATGGTGTTAGCATAAACGTGAGTTTGAAAGGGCGGTGTAGCAAGGAATTACGACTTTCCCACGGCCCCGTACTCTGACCCCGTGCAGTTTTGGGCGGGGGACCACGACACATCGACAGCTGGGGGCTGATAGTCTCATACACCCTCAATGTGTTTGAGCGTACCATGTGTCTTTAAACTGCTGCAAAGCTACGAAGTGCAACGACCTTGACATCCGTACCTAATATTGCCCAAGCGAACCCCAAAGTGTCGTTACCCCAGGGTTATTATTAGGCAAAATCTCTTCACCCAGACTCGTTCCTTCCTGGCTTCACACTATTAACCCAACTGAACATAAAAGAAAAATATAACTACAATGCAGATGATTCCTCTAGCGTGAGCACCTTCACGCATTTTTATATGTAAGTCCCCACAAAAAGACCAGGCACTTGAAAAATGCCTTCCTCCTTGACCGAACTGCACCCCATAAACATTTACCACTGGGTGCCCCATAGTAGTAGTAGCACCCGAACACGTGAAGGGCACATGGCGCAGTTTCATTCATGGTGTGAGTCACTCGGGCGCAAAGGTTGATAAGATCATTGCTTCACCTCGCTCCCCACTTTCACCAGTCTGCCGCCACCCATAGGTGATCAGTGACGTCGGAACGACTGTCTGTGGAACTGTACTCAGCGACCGTGAGTTTTTCGTAGACAGGTGACGCCTTTGGCCAGCTTCTGCCGACCATGGTCGCCTAATGCGCGCTCGGAACGTGTTCCAGTTATTCGATACCCGACTGTTCTTTGTGCTTCGACGTCATGATCTCCTTTGAGCTGTGTCGGGATGATGTTGGCGGAAAACGTTGAATGACCTTTCGAGTCTGTCGCGTTGTTCAGTGAACCTACGCGTCTGGGAGTTCATCTGGGACCGTCATGGCTGTGTGAGCGCGCGTAGAACGTGTTACACGGACAACTTGGCGAACTGATTGATCAGTGGGCTTTAGCGTCAGTCGTCATCATTTCCGTTACCGCCCACTCTGCGCAAGTCTAAATATTCTGCAATTCCCACCCACTCACATGCTTTCTGCCCAGTCTATTGATAGAATGTACACTATCACTCCATTTATGTCATTTTTTTGGTGGTCGCGTTTCTTATTTAAAGGCGCATGATAACGGTAACGGAAGCACTGGGGAATGGTTGGCTTCTGTATGTATCTTCTAATTTCGGGCATATGGCTCACACATCCGCCATACCTCAAAGCTACTTTAGCATATACATAATCACGTATAGATTTCTACTCTTCATCACATCTTCCATGCTTGTTCTTCCCAGGCGGCATCTCACTGCATTTCAGTTTTATGTGACTTTCCGCTGCCTTCATCTGTGCTACTTAAAAGTATTTATGTAAAGCATTTCCGCAACAGGCTTCGTATTCGAATCTAGTACGTAATTCCTGTGTGGCATTCCATACTACCTTGGCTGTGGTTCATACTTTGCGGCAGCGTCCACCAGCGACCAGCAGCGCCAACCAGCGACCACCAGCGTTTCGAGCGCAGCGTCAGCGACTAGGAGAATATAGATATTGATACTTTACTTCCGTAACCCTCGAGCAGCTGCTCGCTTGTGGACGCTGACGGGTCGCTGGTGGCAGTCGTCAGAGGTCGTCATCTACAGGGGGGGGGGGGGCAAAAAAAGATCACTTCGACCAAGTCATATATCTGAAAGTTTTCGGCAGCCAGAGCAGACGGACGTGGATCACGAGTACCTCCGGGGGGGGGGCGGGAGATACCCAAGATGTTCCCTTAAAGCACGGATTGGCTGGCTCTCGCCCATCACCTTCATGTACACCAAAATATGAAGTCATCTCCAGTCGACTGGAGAAGACCTTTGGAATTCATGTCACCTCCAAACAGCTGCGAAACTTCTAGTATGGAGTCACCCATGGATAGCTACCTGGAGACCAGTACTCTCGATCTGGAAGACCTCCAACATCGAGCAGCTCCGACAACGTCGCTACGGTCTAGGACATCATCTTCACCCCGTCCAAAGGCGCCGGACGTACCTGGAATGGAAAGACCAATATTTTCTTCGTGGACCCCCGACTGAAGGTGAGCGCTGGCGGGTACTTCGAGTAGCTCAAGGAGAATATCCTCCTCACATGTCGTCGCCCGCACCTTCTTGGAAACTTTGTACTGCTACAGCATTGAGCGCCACCACATGAAATCGAAGGGCCTTGGAGAAACACTCGCCAACTTGGAATGGAAGGGGGCTGAGAACCTAAAAAGATTGGAGAATTCCAAGCAAGTCACCTTACCTCAATCCCCTTCAAATTAAGCCCGGCTTCTGAGCAGATTTCCAATAGGCGTGGTCCTACGTACGGAGAAATCGCCTATCTCGCTGATCTCAGGCACCACATCGCGGTCGCGTGCCAGAATCTCTCGATGGCGCTCGTCCAGAAGGCTGTGGCGGAGTGTCATGATAGTATTTGATATGCTCTTTAAATATGGTGGTAAAAATGTCCGATCAGAATTTATAAAGTGTAACTTATAGCGCCTCGAAAGTCAATGAAGAAAAGTGACTTTTTTTGGCCCCCCCCCTGTAATCCGCTAGTCCGCTCAACGCGCCGGGCTGGAAACGCTGGTCGTCGCTGTCGCAAAGTATAACCGCATTATTACTTGCCGGTTTTAGTAATTGGCTATTTTGCTCATATTTGACCCTTAGCAGGCTTGCCAGGGGATACGATTTCCCCAAGGTCGTCTAGAGCTCAGCAATTATCGTTCCCAGTGGTCATATACGTATAAAGTGAGGACGAGCTCAACTTCATCCTTTAATAATGGCTCTTTGGTATCCACGCGTACCTACTTCCAATTCAGGATCGTGAATTGCATTGAAATTGACGTACAATATCGTTTTTCAAAGGACTTTGGTGGGTGGAGAAATCATGGTTTTATCCGCGCAGAAAATCGCTACCAACCAGACGAGCGCAAGGCCAAGAGATGAGAACAAATCCAAGTTATGCCCCTCGAACTAAAGCTGTGATAAGCGTCGCCGCTTGCAACTGCTTCACTGTGACGGAGAGCACAGTCTCAAGCCCGGGTCCAAATGGCGCAGAACTTCCCACTATGCACTAATTGTCCTCCGCATCAGCACACCAACATGTAATTTCCCATACGCTCCTCAAGGCTTCAGGAAAGGATCCGATCTGCAATGAAAAAATATGATGCCATGAAATTCTTTGTTTACCAAGTGCTCATTTCGCACTATCGCCAGGACACTTCCTGGTGCTGGAGAGATTTTTGGAGAATGCGACCCCCTAGTTCCCCACTCCGATACCACCTCCCCTCTTTCCCATCCTACTTACTTCTTTCTTGGAATCTCCCATTTTTTTCGAACTTCCTACCACTTTTTCGCGAAAAGTCAATGACGAAAAGTTTTGTTCCAACCCCGCTAATTTTTCGAAAAAGTGAATACATCCTCCACCTATCCCAAAAATGAAGAAATACGACCCCTCTCCTTACAGCGTGCGCGGAACAACAAAAATACTATGAAGAAATCTTTTTCAGAACAAATACGACCCCCCCTCTCCCCACAGCGAGCAAATACGATTCCCAGCTGGAGATTTCCAAACGTTCTAAAAACCCAATAAATATTGGTAACTTCCTCAACGTAATAAATATTGGTAACTTCCTCAGATATTTTTGATTTACCCTTCTTCCTTGCTATGTTCGAATATTCAGAAAGTGCTCGGGCGAATAATGTGTCTGTTGCGTGGTTCGTGCACTATCTTAGCGTCTTATCAATCCTGTACAAACCTCAAAAGTGTGCCCATAATGTGGGTGTGAGCAGATATCGTATGCCATGACCTGCCCCACATTCTTAATGAGAAGGAGGCCGCGTCTTTGTGCGAGGGAGGCCGACAGCACTTCTTTTGGATCGTCCAGTGCATTAGGGGGCGGACCATGGCGTACAAAAGCACCCATGGTTGGCCGGTATCCCTCATTGTCTCACATTCGCTTATCTTCTTCTCATTAGTGGTCATAAGTCGCTCGCGTACCGGGCGCACCACTTCCGAGCGCACCCACACCCACGTTTTTCTTCATAACATTTCTTATGTGCTTCGGAGACCTAGGAATACTCTACTTTTACGAGTAGTACATGTCATTTCGGTAGTTATTCCATGATGCTGACCACTTCAGACTCTTCATAGGTCCTCTGAAATGTAGCAAATCCGGTGGTCATAAAATTACAATGGAAAGTTTTTTTAAATACTCTTATCTGTGCCGGTTTCCTGCGAGCACCACGGCTCCGTCCTCCTTTGAACTCCTCTCCTTCTTCTCTCCTTAAACTCTCCACCGCTTTTCGGAATCCACTTAAACCCGTGGAATTCAGAGCTATATTTCAGCTGAATACCACACTAGCAAGGCGACTGTCAACTTGCCGGTGTGATTGAAGAAGTAAGGACAGGTATCTTTACTGCCAGAAAATCAAGTCTATTGCGCACGACGAACGGCTAGCGTTTAACGCTACCACCCCCAAGGTAAGTGCAGATCTTTTCCAGAAGCTTTTCTAAAAGCAGAATTTCGACACAAAATTCACTCTCTTCAGGTCTTTCGAGTTCGAGCAACCGAGGCCTTCTATTCCTTTGTCGCTTTCATCTACGACAGCGTCTACGAAACCGAAGCCTCCTCCCTGGAACTACTGCTGACATCCCACGAAGAACGAAAATGATTAGCCAAATGGAACTTATCGGTGACAGCAAGGTCGAGCTCACTTTTCTGAGACCAATAAGCCGCATATCCTGATATCAGACCATTATGATGCTTGTTTAGGTTGGTATCGCCGACAGCGAAACGGACGCGATTAGCATGTGCCGACAAATCGCCCGCAACTACGACAAAGATGTAACACTTGGCTCGTTTCTTCCAAGTTCTCTCTGTCATTTGAAGTACCAACTTCCACTTCCAGAATATCGACGATGCCTTCATGCTGGTCGACTTGGATGTCGTTTTCGATAGGTTTCTCTTGTGGAAGCGCGAAATGCCTATGATCGAGGTTGGTTGTGTCTCGGTTACGTGACATTTAAAAACATTCGATGGGTCCTGCGAAAGGACAGAACAGAGCAATAAAGAGTTGCGATCGCCAAAGCGTCGGTGGTACAGAAAACATGTCGCAAGCAAGAAGGTGGTTTTTTATCAGTAAGGGAGGACACCAGGTTGGATGAGCTGCTTGTTATGCGTGAAAGTTGAGATATCAAGGTGACAGCGGTCACAGAACGCCTGCTACTGTGCCACGTGCTCGTGATTCGCCATTCTCGTCGCCGATACTCAGAGAGTGGGTTCGTATGCGATGGTTAGACGTTATGCAGAAAAGATGTAAGAGAATGAGTTGTTTTGAGCTCCAACTAAGGAAAACTGTTCAGCATGGAAGATTTTCCTTGGTTATATGAGGCGCGTGGTTATATAATGTAATGGAAAGTAGCGCTGCTTATCATATGCTCGGTCCGTGATTTAGGGAACAGACAGGCTGCCATCCGGGTCGTTACAGCTCTCCGTCCCTTCTGAACTAGTACTTTACCTCACGAGCCCACTACCAGGGGAACGGCGGCACTGATTGAAACTATTCCTACCCAAAACCATCAAAAAATTTATCGTTGAAGGTTGCTATAGATGTAATTCGATGCGCTGATCACGAATTTCACATCCGTTTCGAGCGCTGGCGTCATTTGGCGCCATTATGCGCCAATTTGGCGTACACCACTTTTTTCACCAAAGTTGATGAAAACTTGCATATGGGGGTTAATTGAGGTCCTGATTACGAATCCAACAATTATTTTTGGCGCTAGGCGCCATTTGGCGCCATTAACGCCGCCAATTCGGCTCTGGCCATACTGGCGCATAAAAATGGCGCCAAAACTGGCGCCAGGCGCATCGAAACAGTGTGATACTTTGTGAATAGCTACATCGAATTATAGGCGACGCTTCAGCGAAAAAATTTTTTTAGAGTTTTTTTGGGGTAGGAATAGTTCAGCATGTGAAGATTTTCCTTGGTTATATGAGGCGCGTGGTTATATAATGTAATGGAAAGTAGCGCTGCTTATCATATGCTCGGTCCGTGATTTAGGGGACAGACAGGCTGCCACCCGGGTCGTTACAGCTCTCCGTCCCTTCTGAACTAGTACTTTACCTCCGAGCCCACCTACCAGGCGGATAGAGCGACTTTTTCATTGGCCGGCCCTCGCACTTTGGTTGTATAGAGCGCATTCTAAATAGGGACTGACCACTGCCGAAAGATTTGTCATTCTAAGAAAGGTGTGAGGCGATTGTTACAGACTGCTCCTTAGTAACAGTGTCTTCTCACGTCCAATGCCCGTTCAAGTAATGCTATTTTCAGCCCTTCTACGCAGTTAAGTGCAACACGGATCCCGTCCTTGTGCGCACTTTGGCTGCCTTGGGAGCAGGATTTGACTGTGCAAGCCGAGAAGAGATAGATGTTGTACGTTGTTCGGAGTTTACCTGAATCCCTAGTGAAATGTTCAAGTTACTCGATGCTCTAAATTCTAGGTGATGAACATGGGTGTGTGGCCTGAGAAGATCATCTACGCCAATCCATGCAAGACCCGGTCGTTCATTACCTATGCAAAAGAGAGGAACGTTAGTATGATGACGTTTGACAGTGTCGAAGAGTTGGCGAAAGTCGCTCACCTGCACCCTGATGCCAAGTGAGTAGCGAGTTGATACCTTGCAGGAAATTACTGCCGAAAAAAGGTTGTTCAGGATGATTCTACGAATTGCTGTTTCTGACCCGACGGCTCGGTGCCCTCTGAATCTGAAGTTTGGAGCCGACCCTGTGAAGGGGGCTCCACAGCTGCTTGTACACGCAAAAGAGCTCGGTGTAAACGTGATAGGCATAAGGTACCTTGGAACTCCTTTCTAAAGCTTCTTTCTGATCAGCTAATGTCAAATTTGCAGTTTCCACGTAGGATCAGGCTGCAACGATCCTACAGCATTTCGTAAGGCCTTGGCCGAAGCCCGCCATTTAGTCGAGCTCGGCAGAGGCTTAGGATTTGATATGAATCTAGTCGATCTGGGAGGTGGATACCCAGGAACGGTCCAAGACACATCATTCGAGCAGGTGGGTTAACACTACCGTGAAAAGCATTCCTTCCTGCAACTCATATTCCTCTATAAATCTCTCCCTCTTTTAGATTGCTGCCGTCATTCGCTCTGCTGTGGACGATTTCCTCCCTCCAGAGTTCGGTGTGCGTCTGATTGCAGAACCTGGAAGGTACACTTCATTATTTGGAGACATGGTTTGGAGTTACCGGATGGGCGGAGTCAGTATGCGATTTTATTGGCGCGCTTCTCAACTTCTCGATATTGACGGTACGAAGGTGGGAAGAGGGAAGGCGCTGAAATGATGTAGTTTCCTCGCTCCGCCTATCCAACAAACTCGACTGTTGTTCTTGGCAAAAGAAAATGAATGGAGTAGAGTTAGAAACTAATTTCAGATTCTTCGCTGCTGCTCCCTTCACTCTCGTTTGCAACATCATCCACGCTACAGAGGTGCCAGCAGAAAAGATAACAAAACGCCGTAAGTATCAAAGTGTTACTACAAAAAGATTACAAGATCATCAGCAAGTGACTGTGCACACAGGTGTCGTATCATTTGTGGGACACGGTGGTTCATACCGTAATACCTCAAATCACAGGGCTCTCCCCAGGAGAAACCGGACCTTTCTATTCCTAGTCCTAGTAGGTTATGCCACGCATCCTACTTCTATTCAGAAGTGTGGTGGCATTTTGAATGCATTTCGGCCTGAAGTGCGGAAGCCAGCCAGTGTACAAGTCAAGTACAAGTTACAGTTTTTGTCCTCCCATACAAGTCTGGTGCTACTAAAGCCCCAACCTCTGCCTCCGGGAACCAAAGGCCCAGTTTCCCCGTACGGTAGCTGACTGGGATTTGATCCCCGAGTGTGCGCGTAGTTAGCACCACCATTTGTCACTGAACCATTAAAGGCAAGTGACACGATAATTTGGTACTCGGTCAAAATGGCAAAGTGGCACGATGAATACCCAAGACGTGTAGGACTGATACACCGAGCATGACAGATTGCGGCGCCCCTGAGCGGGCGCTACATGGTTCCTTCCAAGGAAACTACCATTGTTGCCTTCTATCAAGCTGCAACATACCGACCCGAAAGCCCACCGCGCCCGCCCGCCCACAAATGTCCGACCGATGCTGATGCTCGTATCGCTTCATTTGCGAAGTACAATATGAAGCGAAGGGATTGATATAAGCGCTGTGGTGCTGCATGGATATATGAGTACATAAGCAGCCTACTCCTATCTACTGTAGCGGTTACCGGCACGATGCCAACGGGAAACTCGTCCGAAATTGCTTCTGAGTCGTGTAGAACAAAGGCTTTTTGCAGGTTTTGACCGTTTCACTTCGCTTTTTCGTCATTTTCCCACCATATAACACTCCTACAACCAATTCAGACCGAGTATCAATTTAACGTACCTCAGCCCTTAAGTTGGTTCACCCACCCCTGAGCTCCTGATCTTCTGCCAAAATCCCACGCTTCCGTTACGGCAATGTCATTTTTGCAAGAGGAGTTCTCTGAACTGAAGATGTTTTGATAGAACTGCTGCTAAGCGTCGTATTTCTTGCTTCGAAGCGTATCATAATAATGCTGTGTCGCGAGCAGAAGTCTTGACCAAGGCAGGACTCGAACCCGCATCTTCCGCTTACCAAGCGAGGATATCCATTACACTTTCGACTTCTCTGTACAATGTGCCCCTTAATCAGCCAGCTTGTGCCAGAGTGCTCATGTTCTAAGTGGATCGAGTAATATGAAATATGCAGTCGTAATGATGTGTTTTCAGCTGAAGACGCTGAACATCGCGGATACATGTACTACGTGAACGACGGTGTGTACGGGTCCTTCAACTGCATACTATTCGATCACGTCGACCCTGTTGGAGAGCCCCTCTTCGTGAGAAAATTCTCCTTCCCATTCAGCTTCTTCGTATAATTCCTGTTTTTTCAGGACGAAATAGCAGAACAAGTACCCGAGCACTATTTGGGGACCAACATGTGACAGCCTGGATAAAATAGAGGTGGGGCAAATAACTCTGAAGAAGTCGAGGACTTTCCTCTAAATTATTCAGTTCCAGGACCAAAAGCTGATGCGAATGATGTCTGTTGGAGATTGGATTGTGTATCGGAACATGGGAGCGTACACCTGTTCGGCGTCCACGACATTCAACGGATTTCAGCGACCAACGGCGATCTATGTGATAAGCAGAGAGAACTGGTTTGTTGGGAAATTCTATACTTTGATCTTTGGGTGCAGTGCGCAACCATCATCATCATCATTTCAGGGCAAGAATTTCGTCATCGCCTTTCGTCTAGTTTAAACGGAGAATTATGCATCGACTGTCTCTAAAATATGGACTATTAATACTATTGTAGGCTTATTATGGAACACAAGGGCTTTGGATAGTAATAAATTTCATGAGACTGTACATGCATACGCACCAACTAAAGCACTGACCCACAGTGTTCTGTACCAAATCGCTTAATGGCCCACTTTACGCTGACTGTTGGGACTGATTCACAAGGATCAGTGGAGCTCAGAGTTATGGGAAC